CTCTGCTCAGCCTGAGGCATCCCTGTTGCCTCTGTTGATGGGCAGCCTTTGAATCAGCTACTGTTTTTTTTTTGGTCAGTGAAGACACTGATATAATTTGGGAGTACTTACATGGTGAGTGATTTCATGCCTTGCTGTAAACTCAAAAAACAGTGTCAGCAAACAAGAATATACAACAAAATATAGTTATTTTTAGCCATCTAGCATCTCTTTTGATTAGAGCTTTTATTCTTGGCTTAGATAGCTTTTCCACAGTCAAATGAGAAAACACTTAGTGCCAGTAAGAAGCATCAGCTCATGTGTGTTCAATGCCCACCACAGTGCTAAGTAAAAGAGCTAGGTACTAGAATAGAAGCACATCTTAGTACTCAAAGATGTGCAGGCTGAAGTTATCCCACTGGCCGGGCTGGGATGGCTACTGATTCTAAAGAGCCTGAAGCCATAACAGAAAACAAGTTCACTACAGACATATAAATAACAATATGTAAAGCGCAACTAAACAGGAATACACACTTTCCAGAAAACTAAAGGGAGCTTTCTCTATTTCATTAAAAAGTTGTTCAGTCAGTCATGTTTCTTCCTGCATGAATTACTGCATGCAAGATGCAGAAGAAAGTCCTTAGATGAGCTTTTTTTTTTTTAATCTCAACCCAGATTAGCAGGAACTTCATGTGAATGTCTCTACAAGGACCTCTGAACACAATGTCAGGATGCAATGCACCAGTCACTAGGGAAAAGTGATGCACAATCATGAGACTTCTGTATTATTTATGCAATATCACTCCTAAGCAGCATGTATACCCAAGTGTTGTTCAACTCTGATATCCTGGGTGTTCCCACTCGGCCATGGCTGCACTGCAGGGGTAGATTACTAGATTACATCCTGATTGCCATAACTCACAGGTGGGGCCATGTAGGCTGTGTATACCCTCTGTATGCTGACACGAAGGAGGAAATACAGAGCAGTAATAATGACAGATATGGAAATAAATTAAACAAAGAGATGCAGCTGAGGACACATTTGGCTTTCTGGGCTGCTGGTGCACACTGCCAGCTCATGTCCAGCCTCTCATCCACCAAGACCCTCTAAATCATTCTCGGCCAGGCTGCTCTTGATCTGTTCATCCCCAGCCTGTGTTGATACCAAGAGTTGCCCTGACACAGGTGCAGCACCTTGCACTTGATCTTAATGAGCCTCATGAGATTCCTATGGGCCTTCAGCTTCTTCAGGTCCCTCTGGGTGGCATCCCATCGTACGGCTATGTCAGCTGCACCACTCAGCTTGGTGTCATTCGCAAACTTACTGAGGGTGCACTTAATGCCACTGTCTGTGTCATTGCTGAAGACACTGAACAGTGCTGGTCCCAGTATAGACCCCTGAGGGACACCACTTGTCACCCATGTCCATCAGGGCATTGAGCCATTGACCAATACCCTCTGCATGATATGTGGCCTATTTTTCATCCACTGAACAGTCCACCCATCCCATTAATCCCTCTCCAATTTAGAGTGAAGGGTGTTGTAGGGGGCTGTGTCAAAGGTCTTACAGAATTCCAGAGAGGTGACATCCATGGCTCCTCCCTAGTTCACTGATGGAGTTACTTCAACCTAGAAGACCACTAGTTTAGTGAGGCAAGATTTGCCCTTGGTGAAACCATGCTGGGCATCTCAAATTACCTCCCTGTCCTCCCTGTGCCTTAGCAGAGCTTCTAAGAGGATCTCTTCCATGATCTTCCCAGAACAGAGGTGAGGCAGACAGATCAGTAGTTCCTGGGGTGCTCCTTTCTACCCTTTTTAAAAAATAGGTGCAATCTTTCCTTTTTTCTAGACACCAGGGTCTTCACCTGACTAATGTGACTTTTGAAATACCAAAAAGCTCTTTTAGCACACATTTACATTTTCAGTGTGCTTGTGTGAACTAAGGAGCTTGCCTTGAGTCCTTACAGTGATATTTAAATATCTCATAACTTAGAGAGACAGGCAGAGAAGCCCTTTCTGGAACCTCACACAGAGTGTTAGGCACCACCATTCATCTGACTCAGAAAACTGAAGCAGAAACTGGTTTAAATAACTGATCAGATTTTCCATATGAATCTTTACTGCACCCTTTAAAAAAACCCACAACTGGTTAACAATGTTTACATATGCTCAGCTGTATTTACTGTATGTGTGAATTTGTCCTTGCCCAGAGCTTGCAGCCAGAATTTAAGGCACTGGCACAGCCTGCCCTGCTGCACATGATTTGCCCAGTGGCTTTCCATGGGTTCAGGGATGCCCAGCTAAACTAGAATGTACCAGACCTGCAGAGCCTGCTTGGTAGTGCTGTGGGCAGGTGACCATTGCCTTATTCACAGTGACATCTATTGGCAAAAGCAATATGCAAAGGGACTCTTTCCTATTAGAAGGCTTTTAGAGTACCTCTTTTATCTTTAGCATTTTTCTTTATCTTCTCCAAATCTCACCACTCAGTTTTTTCCAGTCAGTTCAGAATTTTGATTACTTACTACAGCTTAGCCTGTTATCATCTTTTCTAACTCAATATCCCTGTTCTCAATCATTCATCTATTTCTGACAGGGGAAGAGTCTATATCATCAGCACCATTTGCCAGTTTATTAATGAAAACATAAACCATAAAAAAGTTGAAGTTTCAACAGGACAAAGGGAAAACATAAATCAAGAAAAAATTCTCAGAAAAACACCAAGAACTGGGTTCACATTTTCCTCAAAATCACCAAAGTGCTGCTAAAAAAGAAGAAATATTGAGGCCACATTTCTGTCTGTTGTTCATACAACTTTAGAAAGCAAAAGAATGGCAAGATGTGTTGGCATTTAAACAGCTGATACTTCATTAAAAATATTTACAAACCAGAGACAGAAAAGTAATTAAATAAGATCTTCACAAAAACATATATTTTTTTCTACCTGTTGCATGTAACCTGTATGATTTTCATCTGATAAATGAAACTGTCAGTAGTATCTACAAATTATTCAAATTTATCTACCCAAGTATGTGGGTGAAATTTGATAAAATAGAAACAGACACAGAAATTGACAGTGCAGCACATCATCTCTATTAATCAGAGGCTGAGAATCTTTGTTTTCACATGACAATCCAGTATTCTCCTGTCAGAGACATTCCCTGTCCTCAAATTCTGCTGCACAGGAGAAGACACACAGATCGCACATGAGAAAGCTCCACCACAGTAAAAACTTGTACTTGGCATAAATGATGGAGAGGTTGACAGAAATAGGAAAAAACCCATGTATTTAGAAACATTTTTGTTTCAGCATTTCAGTATTATCTCCTGTCTCACAAAAACAGCAGACATGCAGAGAAGGTCCCTTGTCACTGAGTCAAGTACATCACAAATAAGAGATACAGAAATAACAGTATCTAAGAGAGTAAATCACAGACCAAATCTCTGTATTTCACATCTATAACTAGAAAGCAAGATCAGATTGGGTGGGAGAACAAAAAAAATGTAACAGGTCAGAAATTAGTTGCAGTCCATCTAGTAGCAGAGTGATAAGGGAAATTTCACCATGTTTTTTTTTTAGACTAATTAATAGGCAGTAAAAGAAATAAGCCACATCTCTTGAGCCAGATTCCTCTGGTATTCATACCTTCATGCAGAGCTTAAAACCTGAAGGTGCTCCAAGTTTCTCAATTATTTTCAGCTTTTAACATCTGAAGATTTATCTTGTAATCTTCCCTTTGTCTATTTAAAGCTACAAGAATCTAAATCCAGATTTTCCTTTGCATTAAGTTTATAGACACTGTACAATATATATATATATGACTTATGTTATTTTATTCATATGCCACATTTCACTTTTTTGTCTGTGAGATTTATTAATTGACGGCTTAGGGTTTTTTCCTTCAAATTCATTCTTAGAATTCCTTTAGGTCACAGTTCATGCCTGGAAGCAATTGAAAGACAAATCTCTAAACCAGCAGAGAAAACATAGGTACCCACAGCAAATGGGTGTATGGCATCAAACAGATGTCTGGTGTGTCTTCAGCCCACTGTACTCCAGAAGGGAAGAAAGCTACATCTCAGTGTTTTTGTTTGACATAAACAAAATTTCCAGCAGATGTTAAACATATGCAACATTAAAAACATCATGAGAATGATGACAAATGCTATAAGCATAGCAGAGCAGACTGCTTCCCTCCTGAGCCAAAAACAGCAGAGCTGACCCCAGGGCTCTGCCGTGGTTTATTTAATCCTGATAATAAGTTTATGGGTGATCAACCTTCCAGCAGTCCACAATTCTTGACAGCTACTATTTTAAGCAAATACACTCTATGTTTTTTTGGTCGCTGAGCATTTTGTTCTTAATATAAAGGCTCCAAGTGTGTCAGAGAGTTAAGAGTTGATCAAAGGGACATGTGGCTGCAGGGGGCTGGCGGGGGTGATGATGTGTTTCAGCCTCAATTGCTATAGAAGACAACATGGAGTTCATACTTGAGATAAGATTCTCTGGAAGCATGTTGAGTAGTCTGTTTGAGGTTCAGTGTAGCTTGGGCACACAGGAAATTAGTCACTGAGGGCCCAGCCAAGTGCTCAGGGCTGAGACTGTGTCTAAATTCACAATTTACAGTTGTAGGGGATGGATCACCTGAGAAGTTGTTCCCAAAGGATTTCAGGTAACTGAGCATTTCGACTCTTTTTCAGATGTTCTAGCCAGGCCAATCTAACAGGAACATGGCATCTCCACAAAAGGGGAATTACTTGAAGGATGACTTATTCTAAAACTTACTAGCATAAAAAGAAAAATAGTCAAAAATTCAAAAAATGCACTATCAGAAACTTTCAGAATTGATACTACTCCCAAAAATATTTTATAAAGACACTAATACTACACTACCCAAAGACAGACTTCAAACAATGGGTGACAATTTTTTCCAAACTTAAAGTTGCAGGTGTTAACTATAAAAGTATAGCCTTCTCTGTAAAACTTTAGTCACTTCAATAGAAAATACAAGACACATTCATAAAATCCATATTTTATTTTGTAAAATCCTTATAAATATAAAAGAATTTAATCAACTCCACTGTTTACAATAGGTAAGAAATACACAAAACTTCTGTTTACACTATGAAGCAGTAGCCTTATTCCTTTCTCTTCTGAGACTAACTAATCCTTTGTATCCTTCCTGCAATTTGTAAGTATTTTTTTCCACATTCTGTAGCTACTCACATAACAGGGAAACATGTGAGATCAATCCTAAGTCTAAAAAAGGGAGTGAAAACATACAACACATTCCTGCTTTTTTAGCAGTTCTGCTAAATGCCTTTTATTTCTCCAATGGTCTGTTTGTATTTTTCTTCAGAAAATATTCAAAAGGCATTGGGAGGCCTTGCAGGATAGAATAGCTATATTCTGGGGAGGGGAAAACAAAAAAATCCACATATCTTAAACTAAGATAAAATATCTCTATGTCTATGTCTAATTTATTGCTCTAAAACAGCATATAATGTCAATCCTGATTGTGATTTCCCTCATGTTTGTTCATCTAAGATCAAATGACCCACTGAGGTAAAAGGCAAAGCATATAAAACCTATTTAGAAATGAATTCAAGGAGAGCAGTTATGGAAGATGAATTTGTCAGAAGTACTACAGAGATTGGTGTTAGTTGCTGCCAGTAAAACCTCTAGCTGCCTTTTTCAGGTATCACTCACTGGATTTCACTATGCAGTTCTCACAGCTTGAGAGTAAATATAATTCTATCCTAAGCTACTTCCTATGGCATGCTCATTAATAAAAATATTTGGTGTAAAAAAACCCAATTATATTCAGATAAAAAAAGCTCCTGAGAGAAACACAGGGTCAAGTCAACTCATAAAGATAGACGTTTCAACATATTGCTATTGAGGGCTGAGCTTTTTATTCGATGTTGACTTGATTCCAATTTCTTTGGCTCTCTCTGACTATTCTCTTTGGTCTTGGAATATAAGTGCAACCACTGAAGTTCAACTATGAAGCAGAACATCAGCCAACACCTTGACACATTCTATACCTGGGCAGGACTGTGCTCCACAGTGAGATGAGAGGTAAGCAGCATGTGGTTCACACTGCAGTGTGCAATGGTCTGGAACAACAGCTATCCCTGCCTCTTGAGTTTAAGTGGCAAAAGTCTGATGTTTACATGGAAATTGTGTAATAACCCCTTATTTTTCACCAAATGCAACAAACTGGATTTAGGCACAAACAGCTCCCTCTGTGCCTTTCCACCTTGCAGTTTTCAGGTTTCAGGACAATTTCATTGTGTGACATTGTGAAATTCAGGAATACCCAATCTACCTGACATGATCTTGCAATATACAAAATCCTTACTATTTGCTTATAAAAAACTCATCAATCAGTACATCATTACTTCTATGAAGCAGCCAGAATAACAGGATCATATAAATATCTGTTTTACTTAAATACTGCTAATCATTACTGTTTTTTGTAGGAAAGTAAGCACGGTATTGCAGAAGTCAGCAATGAAATTACATCCTCCTTGAAACATGTTTTCTTTGAGAACTGCAATGTGAGGTTTTTACAGAAGCTAAGTGTTATGTTAGAGATCAGAAGAATTATCCCAGAACATCCTATACTGTCAATAATACCAAGGATCCTATTCAGCAATTTGCTGGCAAAATCTGGGCAACTCCTTCACCACATTTGACCCTTATGATTAGCAGTGACCTGTGTGTATGCAATGCTGATGGCCTAGTGCTTCCAAGCCAATGCACTCAAACCCAGTCAGACCTGTTAATATCAATGAATCTGTGATAACTCCGGACATACTTGCCTATGAGAAATGATTGCATGGAAACCACCAATAAAACAACACCTATTAGTTAAAACAACTAAAAAGAGAAATCTCAAAGTATATTAACTATTAAAATGAATTCAGCCTTTGGTTTCAGAGGGAGCCTACTCTGGGTATACTCCTTTAATTCCTTCTGACTTCTCGTCCCCTTAGAGGCTGGGGAGGCCGGAAGTTTCTCAGCAAGCAGCAGGCGACCTCATCCTCAGCAGTGCTCAGGAGGCTGCGGAATTTGGCCAGCTGTAACCAAAAGACACACAAGGTTCAGCAGAAAACTCTCATATCAACACTAATCCAAAAACATCTAGCTATTACAGGCACTTGTCATGTTTTTCCACCTGAAAGAACAGAGCTGTATTTTATTAAGTCATGAGGGGAACGGCAATTTCACCATTTCTATTATTGTAAATGAAAAAGGGGATGACTACTGCGAAAATGTCCCAAAATACATGTCAACATGAAACTGAGCATAAGGATTACTTGTTTCCTTCATTTACACTTTGTCTTCCATAACCTAATCTAAACAAGGGGTTATATATATTTTTAGTTATATTTCATTGTTTGGAGATTCTGAAATGCTTTTTGCCAAAATATAAGATTATGTTTCTTACCATACAAACGTTCTGCAAATGGTTCCTTCTTCAAAGAGTATATTTACAATTTACCTGGAAGAACCACACCAGCTTTGGTGCTACAGAAAGCTTCTGCAACTAGCACTCACTCAAACCAGGAGAGATTCCAAATTCTTCTCCTGTGATGATACAGGACAAGCACTTATTTATAACACAGCATATGCTGATCTCAGCAGAAACCCCATCAGAGCTCCATGTCTAAACCTTGGGAAATCTGAGCCTGATTTCTGACCTAAGTATAGAATTTTGTTTAATTTCAAATCTTTGCAATAGTTAACTATTTCTACATATCACTTTACTCCCCTCCTAGGTTAAAAAATGTAGGACAGTACAAAAACCATTCCATTATAATAGAGCATTTATTTGTAAGGCACATTGCATCATAATGATATTAGGAACAAAAAAGGTCAATCCTATATTGCTTCACCCCATTCTGAAACTAATGTTTGTATTTCAGGGTCCTGTAAGTTTCTAAAAACTTAAAAGCTATTTTTAATTTCTTTCAACCTGAAAAGTGCAACAAAAATTCTGTAGTAAACTCTAAAGCCCTACAGAAATACAAATTTGAGGAATAAAATTAAATGGTAGAACAGTATTAGTCACAGTGCTGACTGATCAATCACAATGGTGGACATTACTGGAAGCAAACACTTTAGCTGCATGCATGTTTATATTGATAAGAATATAGCAATTTCTACTTTAATACATAAGATATAGCTAAAGTTTATGAAAAATGACTAATAAAGGATCACTATACTTGACACTTTCCCACACCATGTTTCCTGAGCTTGTTACATGTGGCTGTTTATATACAGCATTTCACATTTTAGAATGCATTAATTAAAGATTTGCCCAAATAAGAAGCTTTAAACCTGAAAAATGGCTTGTTTTTAAGACAAGTTTTCAATCCTAGATCCAAACACGTTGCAGTGAGCCTTACAAAGCCAGATTGAGGGGAGTGAGGAAGAAATACAGATGAGAAAAATACACACATTGAGCAAATAAATGACTTCAAATCAGTTACAAACAGAAATCTGAGGTTTCCTAGCAAACAATCAATTCAGGGAACTGTCCTAATATTTACAGAAAAGACTGAAGTCACCACTTCTGCTGAGTATATTTACGGTCTCTACTCAGAAATGCTTTGCACCTAAGAGGATCAGCCCGCTGGGTGTCACTGTTGCCAAGTTAAGGTACAGCAAGAAGCTTTAACAAGAAATGTAAATAGACTCTTGTAAATAGACTCGTTTATGTCGAATCACAGCTTTCCTAAAACAGCCTAGCATAACCCAAACTTATTACAGTAGTATTCTCTTTTCACAATTCTAGTAAATTCATCAAGTTTTATGTATTTAGAATGCAAGAAGACATTTACTACTTGTCTGCCAGATGAGGTTTGAGCAGATAATGCTCAATTTGCAAATAATTAAATCAACTGGACTTCCAGAATTTCTAAGCATCACCAGAATATTTTTTTAAGTTTTCTATGGGTAATTTTTATTTATAAATTGTTAGAGTATGCAGATTCTTTAAAAAAAATAATAATAAATAGCTGTTAGAACAAGAAAGGCAACTAGTCAGAATAAATTTTATATACAAATTTTGGCTTTTGAAAATCTTGTAAGGTCTGCAGTGCCAAGGTCTCCAAAAACCCATAATTTTGGGTGACATTTACAATTTCCATTCTTACAAAAGCGACATTTCTATAGCAGTGAAAAATGCAAAGATACCTGCTCAGAACAAACATTTATGGGCTCTCTCAGAACAATCCAGATGACACTTTCAAGAAGGGGTGGAACAGTGAGAGAGCCAAAATAAGTCCAGTAGTCCAGGGACTTGGGAAGCAGACAGCTGGGGTCGAAGTTTGTGAATAGTGCTTTTTTTCCCTGGAAAGAAATAAAAGAAAAATAAATACCAGGGCAATATTATTTAAAAGCAAGAGGCCAAAGTAAATCGTGCCAAAGGAGGTAGAGCTTGTTCCATTATCAAGTGGGCTAGCACCATCTTGGGTGATGACAGGAGATCCTCATCACTGCCCTTTTGATGAGGTCTTACCTCAGTGACAGCTTTGCTGTGACTTTCCTTGATGCCAGCAGGGCACAGATACCATGACACCTTTCAGATGTCACCTCTAAGTTACAGAAGACCATGAAATGGAAGTTGAGGGGATAAGAGAGAAGATGTTTGGCTTTCAATGAGGTCTCTGTGGGGCTGGCAGAGTAACCCCACAGGTTTCTGCTACTGGCTTCCCTCCCCACTCCTCCCAGGAATTACTTCTGCTTCCCCCTGTAGTGGATATCAGGCCACAGATGTCTGTCTGAACACCATGTTGAGAGTCTGGCTGATTTCACTCTCACAAGCTGGAGGTTATTTCTTACCCTGTACCTCATCAAAACAGGGAAGGAAGTCTTTCCCTCATCTTTTTTACAGCTTTCCACAAAGTATGTTTTTCCCCTGTTACTATCCTCATAGCAACAGATTTATCAGAGACTGGGTTCTGTGAAGAATTAACAAATTCCTCTAATCTTTCCCTGTGTAAAAATTATTTTTTGTCTACTTAGTTTTCAACTTAAACAGAATGCATATAAACTGTCTCAAATCAGGATCAATCAGTAGAGATATGAAACATGAAGGTGCAGGGAGTAGCAGTCAGGTTTCAAAAAATAAAAAAAACTACCAAAAAAAATTAAAAAAAAAACAACAACAAAAGCAACACCACTATTAGCTAGCATTCTTTTAGAAGCACTTGTTCACCTTGATTCTGATGGTGTCCAAGCGGTCAGTAATCTTGTTCAGTTGAGGGTTGCATTCACCAATCTATTAACACCAAAGAAAAAAAAAAACACTGGAACTCCAGAAAAAAGCAACAAAAACTAATAAAAAAGCAAATGCATAATGAAATTGCTTTATATAACTGAAGTGACTGAAAGATCTGATGCATTTTGTGAGTAGAAGCCTGTGACTAGTTGGTGTTTAGTAATAATACTGGTCATAAAGAAGATTCACTCCCTTGCTGATAGCATTCTGGGTACCCATAGTAATTACTTCAGCTACAAAAGAATTATTAATTTGTCATTACAGGGATATAGAAACTATTTATCTTTTATATTTTATGTTTTAATATGCAGGATATGAAAAGTTACAGACTAACATCAAAAATTTAAACTGCTTATAACATTGAAAACAATGTTCTTACATGAGAACATTCCAAACTAAATTTGAGTGCTAAGAAATCCAACGATACTTCCCTTGAGTCACTGTAATGCAAACTGGAAAGACAGAATTACTGAATTGCTGAAGCAGTTCTTTGCAACTGCTGCGTGGAATGGCTCTCTGTGCCAGCACCCATACTAGCTGTTCTCAGGAAGCTGTTGTCAGCCACCAGAAACCACAGAATTAACCAAAGCCCTATCTTTTGCCACTGATTGTGTGAAGTCCCCATCTGCTTCTTCATACAGAATTCAGTGAAGCTGTTGCACAAATTTAATCTTAGAACAGGTAGAAAAGGCAAAAAAAGGGTATAAAATAATTATTAGGAAATTCTCCAGTTTCTGGTTTTGCATTATTTAATTATTATTATTTTCTAGAAGAAGCTACCAGCTCAGAAACAAGCCATTAAGAAAGCATTTAAATCAAGCTGTCCCCCTAAAGGAACATGCTAGTCAAGAACAAGTTACTGGGATCTAAATAGGGGCAGCTGAATTAAGTTCCACAACTAATGTTGTTTGGGCTTGCAGACTAGGCAAACTGAAGAATTTGACTGTCTTGAAAAATCTGTTAAGCTGATATTTTTATTCTTAAAGGAAGCACAGCTTTCTATATTGGCAGCTAAACACTATGAAGGAAATAAGTATGAAACAAGCATCTCTTTAGCAATTCTTACACAAACCATAACCATTATCTCTTTGGGTTTATAATGCAGATTTATTATGAAGGATGAAGCATTCTCTTCTTACCTTCAGAAATACAGCCATGACTGCTAGTCCATCTGACTGACAAGCTGCCTCAACAAAACTGGAATATTTTTCTGCATTCCAATGGACCACATGAAGCTGAAAAGCAAGAGACACAGACAGCATCAACTTTCACTGAACTCTAGTGGCAACTTAATATTACAACTTTACTTTTATTTCACTCTTTTGTATGTAGAATCATTCAGTGTTCTAAATGCAGAAATTTAATGAAATCAGTAAATATGTAGATCACACAAATGGCAAAAGCATTTCTGGTGGCTGAGATTATTAAAAATTTAGCAGCAATCGGCACATCACAGTGCCTGTCAAATTGCTGTTGGGTCCCCATATTTTGAACGGAGAAGTTAAGACAAAAAGAAAGCCAGTGGTTATATAACTAGAAGTTTTAAATCCATTTTTAGTACAGCTGATTCTAAAAAGTGATTGAAATTCATGAGGATGTCATTAGTATTTTACTCCTCTTTTTTCTTTTAATCAAGCAACATTAATCATCCACATAAATGGCTAGAAAACAGGCAAATACGTATTAAACTTGCACTGACCCCTTTTCCCTTCTTTAGCTTAAGGGAACATCAGCATTTTATTTTTGACACTTTTCAAATGTTGTTTTCTATGACTACCAGTAGTGACGCCCTTACAAGAAGCTTGATTATCTCAGGTTTGAGCATTTGCATTTCCAGCATGCATTATTCTGGAAGTGTCCTGTCATATTTGCTTAAGATGCTTAAAGGCACTACCCAGCCAGGATGGAAGAGGAAAAGCCTGTGATACCTATTTCCATGCCACTTAAGTACCTGCTGTTAAATTAGGCTTCCTAATTCCTGACCATACTTCATGACAGGAGCTTCTGGTTCCCAAGAATTCCAGGTTGTTCCAACCTTGAGCAATATTCTGACTGCCAAACTGGAGAGAGCACACTCACACAGCACTTAAATCTAATTACTTCACAAATCTTTCACAAATCCTCAAAGGATTAGTAAATCTTATTACATATAATTTTTAGTTAAAGATGCTTAGAAACAGGGCATGAGATTGGCTTTTCTAAAATTGGTGACCATCTTTTCAGATTTTGAACTTCAAGAATGCTGAAAAACAGCTAATTGAATTACTTAAACTGGGATGAACCCATGAAAAAAATAGCTTCCTTTTGGAACATAGCACCTACAGGACAAGTAAAGTAAGAAAAATTTAGGAAAGCTGAAACCTGTTTTAAAGGATTTCTATCTGAAGCAACATAGCTGCATGGTTGAAATAGGGATCTAGAAGTATGAAGATTTTTATTCTAAATATCAATCCTTGCTTAACCTCTACAAGTTACAATTTTCCATATCTATAAAATGGAACTCTTGGTCTTAATTGGCATCAACATTTTAAGCATTTAGGCTCTAAAGTGATGAAACATTACTTGCAGCAAGTAAGGATATGTACAGCCATGATGACATCCATGCTGGTTCACAGCTTTAGAAATCCTTGAAGGAAAGTTGCTAAGAATATTATATATTAGACCTTTCTCAAGTGCATTAATATCCTGGGGTTCATAGTGTCTGCACTGCTCCCTATTGTAAGTTCACAGAGCCTATGTTGAACAACTTTTAAACAATTACATTTTTACATACACAAAAAGGAAACAGATACTCTCAGTCAGAAATTACCTTTATTGTGGATTTCAGGAAAAAAAAAAAAAACCACCATCAAAAAGAACACCCAACAAAAAACAAAAAGGAAAATTCCCACAGCTACTAAAAGCTCACTCCCACTCCCTCATAGCTTTGCCAAAAAAACCCCCAGAAGGTAACCCTCCAAAAACCAGAGCCCCAAACAGAGTGTGAAACACTTTTGGGTACAGACCCGTTCTCAATGGCGTGTGACTTCTCTAAGGAATATATCCTGTCTTACCACCGTGGTGTCACTGCAGCTTGTGAAGCGACCTTGATCAGACTGTATGCTGTCACAGAGAATGGAGCAATGGATCCCTTCTGCTTCCTGGTGGGCTTAAGGGCCAAACCTTGCAGTCTTCCTTACCTGTACATTAATTCTTTCTTCAATTCAGTAGATGCTTTTTCTTCAAACCTTGCACATCTTCCTTACAAAGGTGAGCACTGAAAACATCTTCATGTCTCCTTCTGAGGTATTTTCTTTTGTGTGAGCAATATTCAGAAGCCTTGGTTTTAATTCTGAGTTTCATATCCCAAAGCCAAAGTGACATCTAGAGAGCTTCTTGTGGAGCGTTACCCAACCAACAGGTAACAGAAAGGCTTTTAGACTGGCTAGAAATTCAGAGATATTTTCTCGTTCCATTTGGTTTCTTAGATGGGAAACATATATTTTCTCAGCTAGAAATTTGGGGTTGGTACTTAATGGTTTTAAAGCACCTCTATTAATTCTTTATATTCCATCTCACCTGGTTCCTGTGGAAAACATAAGCCTTTAAACACTGCAAATGTCACTTTTCCCCATTAGTGTTAGAAAACCAATCTTTTTTCCTGACCAGTATCTCTTATACAATTTCCAGTAAAATCTGATCACATCACAGTGCATACATTACATCTCTTTCTTCTGCAGTATTATGCCTTTCATTTGTCCATTTATTTTTACACTTTTTACTTCTTTTTAACCCCAGAAAACTCTGACACTGTCTGAATCATATGTTTTCAAATATATCAATCTCCTGAAAATATTCCATGTTACTTCCATTTGCAAAGAGGAATCTCATACTGAGAACTTTCTCCTGCAGATTACTCAAATACGCCAAAGACAGAGCAGGAGTGAATGCTCCATGCCAGAGCAGATGGTGCACTTCTCCCTGTGGCACACCACCTCCACTGAAGCACAGTACCCCACAGACAGCAGCCACCCCACAGACAGCAGGCATCCCAAGATATCAAAGCATGGTTCTCAAAGTCATAACTACCACATTGCTAAGTGCACCACAAAATGCAACGTTCTTAAGTCGTGCATTTACACTACATACTTTACACTACATAGGCCCCAAATCCAATAATTCTGTGGTTTGTCATTGAAGATGACTTTGAAAATGTTCTCCAAGGAAGAAACAATGAAAGACAAAGTTTAAAATAACTCTTGAACATTAAGTCTTGCTCTTATCAAGCTCTTGTCTTCTGTACTCCTTTTTTAATCCTCTGCAAAGCTTTCAAAGAGGTTCTCCTTTGAGAAAGGATCAAACATGCAACACTTCAGGAAGACCACTCGTCTTTTGATAAAATGAGGGGAAGATGAAAAGCAGGAAGAGGAAGGGCAACATATTTTTGCAATGGAGAACTAGTCACAAGCTTAGAGGCACAGATGACTCCATGTAAAGCCTTACCTCTGCCGCATACTTCATCCCATCCACAGTGTGCTCAGAGCCAGCTTCATCATTGGATCCCCAGTGGAAGTGAATCTGGCGCAGCCTGTAGGTCCCACTGAGTGGCCCCCCAGTCAGCACTGGAAACCCAAGCAGAGGAAAAGGCTTCACTGAGAGAACAGGAGTCTCTATCCACATCCTCTAACCTCACACCAGAATTCCGTCTTCGGACACTCCTCTGCTCCTGCTCATAAGTTGTCTCAGATGGCTTTCTGTTTCCTGGAAGTGCTACAGAAACCCTCACCTGTCAAGGATATGACTACGAAAATTGCATTTATGGGCAGATTAGTGGGTTATGACCCACTAAAGGGTATACTGTTATTGTCAAGGTTGGATATTTCTCAGAGAATGGGAAAATACTTCTATTTTTCAACACTCAATAGTTTCCTGTCTTGATTATATTCAAAAGAATTACTAAGAAATTAAGATCAAAATATAGGTTTTATGAATAAGGAGCAGAATCATAAAAATTTAATGCCAGCAGAATTTATTTTTGTCTTTGAAATTTGGTGGAAAATAGGAGGAGCTGTAATTTTCAGGGCTCTTTCCTTCATTTGCAACTAGATCCAGTTATATCAGATTGAAGTCTGAGGAAAAGGAGCTTATATTAACATAAAGTAAATTACATTGTACAACTGCAACATTACTGACAATTAGCCAGGGCTGGAAAGCATGTCCTATGAAGAGCAGCTGTGTAATTTGGGCTTGTCTAGTTTGGAGAAAAGGAGGCTGCGGGGTGTCCTCGCTGCTCTCTACTTCTGCAGAGGCGAAGCAGAGAGGGGGCTGCTGGTCTCTTGTCTCAAGTATCTAGTGACAGGACTCATGGATAGGGCTCAAAGCTGCGCCAGAGAAGACTTAAACTGGATGCTAGGAAGCATTTCCTTACCACGACGGTGGTCAAACCCTGGAACAAGCTTCCTAGAAAGCTTGTCAAGCCCCAGGCTTATCAGATTTTAAGAGGCATTTGGACAATGCCCTTAACAACATCCTTTAACTTTTGGTTAGCCCTGAACTGTTCAGGCAGTTCGACAAGATGATCTCTGCAGGTTCCTTCCACCTGAAAGAGTCTATTCTTTTCTTTCTACTTATATTCTGTTCTGTTCTAATTCTATTCAAAGTAGCATGCATATGGGTGGGCTTTTCATTATTTTGTTTTTGCAAGTGCTCATAATTTTCTTGTCAGACTTAGAATCAAAATATCTCTTCACAGAGAATGTGGAATGTGAATTACAATCAGAGAGATTCCTTATTCACAGCAAAACAAATCACTCTATGCTCCCAACTCTGTATGTCCTCTGAGTGTTTGGGAGTCAGTCTGGAACAGTTTACTGGCTCTTTACAGAAATTTTAAAGGGAAATGAAGGGAGATTTAACCAAATTTTTTTTAAATTATGAGCAGTAGGGAGGACAATAACAATTTTTTCTCTCTTTTAGGTTTAGTGCAAAACCTACATATTTTTAGGAATAAAATACACCAAATAAAGATTAAAGAAGAATTTTTAAGTTGCCTATTTGCTAACACAAGTAGCTGGGATAACGAAAAAGAACTGGGACTGTTTATTCTGGGGAAAAATATTTAACTTCCTTAAATCTTCAGCTCAAAAAACATGCATTTTCACAGCCTATAAACTTAGCAAACAGAGGACATGGAGCAGTGGCACTTTTAAATTCTTTATTTTAAGGACTGTAAACTTCAATGCAAATGATGCTAGAAAAGAGTAAAGATCAGTGTTCTAACTGGCTGAGGAAAAACTATTATGTAGAAATGCACCAGCATAAAATCTTATGCTGAAAAATGTGGAAAATGGCCTGTTGATGTAATTGTACCACATCACACAGTGATGGTAAAACCATTTCATTCCAACAGTAATTAAGGAAGAGGGTGGTCAGAAATTCTTAAGGCAAATATCAGTATCTTTTGAAAAATACTGGAAGAAGATCAATAGCGCAATTTCAAAGAATGGAGTTAATGTGGTACCAAAGAGCATAAACAGACTTACACAAACAGCTACAGACTTGACAGCCCAGTTCCAATGCTGACCAAAGTGAGGAAATAGTTCATATGGGAGTCAGTTAATAATGCATTAGAAGATGCTAATGTATTTAGTACCAATTAATTTGATTTGTTCATTAAACCAGCACATGGCAGGAGTTCTTACTTCACAGAGGTGCCCCAGAAGCCAAATTTGGGCCCTAGAAAATTCAGTATTTTTTGAGCAATGACCTGAAAGAAAACAAAAACAATACTGATAAAGTTTGTCAGTGACAAATATTAGGGAAAATAGTGAATTATTCAATCTATGGTTGTGGACTGAAGAATCTGGTCCGTGCATAGAAAACGAGGAATCTACTGAAGGAGACTGAGTATTCCATCTGTTAATTATCTGATCAACATGCATTAGTGCTTTGCCATGATATGAACTATATCCTTGGAGATATGGCCTAGGGAAAGCAGAAAGAGGAGGATTCCATAACCATTACTTTGGTACCAGGGGAAGCCTAGAGAAACACTGCCACTTCTTGAAAGGAGTTCAGAGAGTGGAAGAGGTTCTTGGTGTATTCACATTCATTAACTTTTTTTCTTTTAAACTGTGAGGGTAATTAACAATTAGAACAACTTACCAAAGGCTGTGGTAGGTTCAGCATCGCTGGAAAATTTGAAATCAAGATTGTACATTTTTCTAAGAGATGTGCTTTAGTTCACCAGCATCTACTAGGCTCGGAGCAGAGATTAGTTCTGGGAAGTTCCACGGCACCTGACACAAGGTCAGACTGATCATTGATGGTCAGCTGGTGGCTTTCAGGCAACATCCAATGCTGACAGAAAGTTTAAAACTAAGACTGTTCAGGAAACAAAAACGCGACAGTGTCCTCATCTATGTCTCTCCCTCTTGCCACTATGAGCTAGTAAGTCCTCAGGACTAAGGGGTCATCAAAAATTAGTCTCTCTCTGGCTTTGATGCTTGTGAAAGCATCATATGGTCTTGGATCCTGAGCTAAGCCTCACACAGCCACAAAATTATTTTATTGCTGCAAGATTCTGCACTCCTACAGCTAGAAGAGGAGGCATGCTGGCCTGGCCAAAATCCAAGAGAAGGTTTCAAAGATGAAGGCACTAACATTACAAAGACTATGATTATGTCAGAGAACTTCTAAATAAGAACTATTGTTTGCAAAAAGGGGAGCTACATACTCCTGGAAAAGACTTGGGCAATAATACTTTTCAGAGAAGAAAAGAGATTACTTGAGATCTATTTCATTTGTTCTGTATTGGCTCTTACTTGTTATAAGAAGCCTGAGTATAGGTTGTAAAAAGGGGAAAAACATATAACCAAACCTGCAGATAAATTCAGATAAGAGATTTGAGCGATTCGGTTGGAATGAACCTGTAATGAGACACAAAGGATTCATCTGCAGTGAGAGAGAGAGAGAGCAGCATTTGAAAGATTGTACACAACACTTCAAACAGGGGGCTTGCACTATCCAGCTGGTGGGGGTGGATCAAACCACTCCTGTAAGTAGGGAATCCCAGCACTTTCTGAGAAACACAACCTCGAACTTGTGTCCAAATATGTTCCCACACTGCATCATGCTGAAGGACAGGGAAAAAGGAATCTCTCATCCAAAGAAGCAAAGCCTTACTGTTTATAAGGAGTTCATACCCAGCAATGAGATGTGCCCAGACTGTAGGCATTCTATGTAAGAATTGGTGGAGGAAGTTACAGTGCAAGAATAAAGGAACAAACCTGATTTGTTGACGGTGTCATCAAACTCCACACTGGTGGAGTGCCCATTGTTAAGGATGATTTTAGCAGAAGCTGGATCATAACTGGGATTTAGAGGACGGAGGGAGGGATCATACTTGGTATCCTCAGTTTTGATGTCGATGGGTGACTGACGGTCTCCATTAGCGACAGGAAAAACCTCCTTCCAGTGGGCAGGCCCTGCAATGCATTGGAGGAGAAGTCTAAATTGCTGACAGCAACCTCATTTTTATGAAAAGAAACTCTGCTTGAATTGTCCTCATCTGCATCTTTTAAATTAAAAAGGATGCATCAGGAAAACACAGATCAAAAAATTCAGCTACTTTTGCTGCATCATATTGCAATAGCAGTTCTCCAGACCCCTTCCCTTGCATGCCCTTTTAAATAAGGCCACAGGATGTAGATAATTATTCCCAGGTGAGACTCAGCTATGCACAAGACACATAAAACAAATGCTCATTCAAATCAGGCATCCTGTAACCAACAGGCACTATGTCCCAATATATTTTTGACATGCCATTTCATATCATGTCTCACTGTGTCTTTAAGGATTACCTCTCTTCTATGCAAATCTCTGTATTAAGAATTTTTTATGCCTTAGCAATTTGCTGCAAAAGACCTGAGAACACATCTTCCACTGATCACTCTGAATGAGATGGGGAGATGTCAAAAAAGGTGACTGGTGATGTCAGAAAATCTCGAGTGGCTCCTGGAGCCTGATGGCAGTGCCTGGAACCTAAACACTGCTGCACCTCTAATCACCCCTTCCCAGCCCACCAACAGTGCACATCAGCTGTCACAAGAAAGAGAGACTGACACCCTCTAATCATGAAGTGTCCATGCACACAGGCACACATACACACGCACTAGTGTAGCACTGACAAAATCAAAGAACAGGAACACTCAGTACAGTGGTGCCTGCGTGAGGTTTGCATTTCTACTGCCTTCAGCTGATGAGAGTAGATCTTCCAGACACAGATGCAGTGCCATTGACCCGACTTAGGTAGAAATTACAGGACTAAAGAGGCTGTTAATCAATACCAGTCATCTCAACCTTCCTCTCTCCAAGCAGGTTAAGCAAAATGTTACCTGAAAAGCTAATAAATCAATAATACAGATATGAGAAAATGGCAAATAACATCCTAAAATAGTAAGAAAAGCTTCACTGATGAGATGTGTGAGTTATCTGTTGTTACTTACTAAACATCTGAGAGTTCCCAATAATTCACAATAAGAATATACATGCCTTTTTTTAACCATATTTGGATAAGAAGGTAAAGAAAAATATGAAGAGTAAGTTGCCTGGGGAATATATTCTATAAAGACAGAAAACAAGGTTTAGGATGGAAATGAGGGGAGAGCAACGGGAAAGAAGAAAGGAAAAAGTGAAAGATGAAAGTCTGCAGGGCAAACGATCTTTTAGTATTAAGAAGAGCACAGAACTTGTTTTCCCTCCAGGCTTATAATGGGTAAAAAGCATAATAAATCAATTGAGAGACTGGGTATAAGAAATACTTAATATGAGCATTAGAACCTGGTCAAATAAAATCTACATCACTGGAAATCCTCATAACTAACTCCCTACACTGAAGATAACTGACCTCAGTGCAAAAATTTGGTTTGAGTCTTTCTGGATGATTTACAACTTAAATAAAAATAATGACAAAAAAGGATGAAAATGTATGAGGCAGTGGTTAATAGCCTAACCTCAAAAGCTATCATTTTCTTTCCTTGACTTCAATAGAAGTGAACACAGCTCAGAAGCTCACAGGTGCTAAAAGCACCCATGCACCCCGGCAGTAAATCAGGGAGGAAGCGCCCACAGCGCCGGGGGCTGCAGCTTGCACAGCACCTGGGCAGAGAATGATTCTCCTCTTAGCAGCACTGAAAAACAGAAGTGGGAAAAACTTGTAAAGAATGGCCTAAGACTTAAGCCTCAGAACAAATACGAAGGCCTTCAGTCTTGATTTTTTTAAAAGGTACTTTTGTTGATTACTTCATTAACTAAACTAAATAAGAAAATAGAGTCTAAGGCCGAAGATTAAAATCCTACTGGTTTGAAACATAAAACTGCTTAACTTAATTCCCCTCAGTTAATGAATGGTCATCAAAGCTATTTAATATTCTAAGTACATACACTTTAGAATGTAATTTTAATTGTATTTAGATCCTAATATCCTGTAGTTAGGAATGCAACACAAAATTTTATTTGTAAGAAGCACTACTCCATAATTTATGCCTCACTACTGAGATTTGGAATTACTAAAAAAAGTTTATTGCTACTTAATTTTAATAATTCTAATACTCCTTAACTGAGAAAAGCCAAAAATATATTTATGCACTTAACAACTTGGTCTCCTATTGCTCTGTCTCAGAAATAACTATAGTTATTTGAATTAAATAATATGGATGACTTGCATTCACAAATAATACAAACTTGCCAAAAAGAGGACCCAAGGCTGTGATTCTGTCACTACTTAATTATTTACCAGTAACATTCAATTCTAAAAAGACATTATTGCTAGTTTGGCGCTTGTTCTTGGCTCAGATGAACAAAATACTGGTTCACTATGGTGATTAAACATCTACCAGTAAACCAACTACCAGACATCTGACCTTTCAAAATATACAGGAAAGTATCAAGAAACTTCAGCTCATTTTACACCACTAGATTGTATCAAGAGGTATTCCTTACTAGGTAATCTGCCAGCAATCTATTACAATTATCATGCTAATTATCATGCTTTTGCCACTCTAGGAAAACTTTGACTCAATTCATTTCTACAGACCCCAGCCCAATGAAACTTTGTGTATGACTGTTGTAAAAAAAAAAAAGTCATTACTATTGAAAGTGATACTCAAATACATGTCATACAATCAGATTTAAGTCAGTGGGGTCCCTAGGGTTAAACTTTATTGTGAGTTAGATTCCTCCATATAAAAATAATGTACACTTCAGTTTTCTAAACATGCATTTTAAGACATATCCAGGGAGTTTAACTAATTAATTCACCTCCCTTCATGTTTTCCTTTACTGAATGAAAGTGATTAATATACCAATTTTTGAACTTATGAAATCCTCTCCTGCTGCTGGGAAAATGTTCTCTTGCTAGAGGCAATTTTCTAGTAGCTCTTAACAATCAAAGCTATTGTGACTGAGATTTATGACAAAAAACTGAACCATCTGCTCTGATGATTTCATGCCTTTATTTTGGACACAGCATTACCACAGGCAATGAATTGTCTGACACTTTTAGGTCAGACTATCGCTGCACATACCACTCACCAGCATTGCATACAGCCAGTTCATGAAACTGATTTCACAAGGAAGGCAGTTAAGAATTTGGCAGGAACCAAAACTCACTATAGCACCTCAGTGCTGCATTTTGATTCAGCTGAAGCTGAAGATCACAAATTTCACCAACAGGATAACTTGAGACAAGCCCAGTGAAGACACTAGAGGATACAGCTGAATTCCAGTGAGCCTCTATACGTGCATAAAATGGAGCATGTACAGGTGAAAAGGGGTTTGAGTTTGGATTTTTTTTTTTACAGTTTGTTATTATATATAGAAAATTCTTTTTTTTTTTGCAAATAATTTGATTGCATATTAGGTTATAGTAAGATGAGCTCAAACAAAAGCAACTAAAAATTCATTATGGGTTAAATTAAGCACCTTTTAAAAGCAGATATTGAAACAATGTAATTTTTCTCAGAAAGAAAAAACGTAAAAGGGGTTATGGCTCGACTGAAGTATCTTAAAGGTCTTTTGCAATCAAAATTATTCTATGATTCTATGAATTAATATCCCTTTTATTTAGAAAATTCCTCAGCATTACTGTAGTAACTAGATCAAGAGAAAATTTTGCTGTAACAGACATTTCATTTACAATACATGTAAATAATTCCCATATATTTCATTAAACAAATAGTAAACGGAAGTCAACTGATTTCCCACTGCGGTCCCTTCCACCCTTACTCATTTTTTGATTTGTCTTTTAACTAAAGCAATTCCCCTGTAAATGGAAAAGGATTTAAGGGGCAAGAACATTCCCATCCTGACAGGAACCTTGAGCAGCAGTGAAAAGCATGCACGATGCCACACTGAAGTCAGTCTTCAAGATTTCAGTATTATGCTTCTACAGATAAGCATCATCAAAACTGTGAGGTAAGAAAAGTGGCAAGAAAGCAAAGGCCAAGGTTTTCACAGAAATAAAATAATGGCTTCATGTATTTCAGAAATAGGTGCATCAAAGTAACCAAGAACTTGTGCATTAGGTTTGTGTGACAAGATACTCGTAGCAGGGAGGCTGCAGGCTTCTGTGATAAGCTGCTGAAGCTTCCCCCAGGTCCAATGGGGCCAGTGCCAGCTGGTTCCAGGATGGACCCACTGCTGGACAAAGCTGGGCCCATCAGGGACAGTGCTAGCACCTCTGGGATAACAGCTTTAAGAAGGGGAAAAAGTTACTATGCAGCAGCAGCTGAAAGTGAGGAGTGAGAATATGTGGGAGAAACAGCTCTGCAGACACCAAGAGAAAGGGGAGGACATGGTCCCAGAGCCACCACAGAGATTCCCTGCTCCATAGTGAAGACCAGGGTGAGGCAGCTGTGCCCTGTATGGAGGTCCACAGTGAAGCAGAGATCCACCTGCAGCCCATGGAGGGTCACAACTGGAGAAAGTGTGGCTTGAAGGAAGCTGTGACCTCATGGACAGCCTACACTGGAACAGGCTCCTGGCAGGAGCTCATGGGAAGCCCAGGCTGGAGCAGGTTTGTTGGCAGGACTTGGGGCCCCCTGGGGAATCCATGCTGGAGCAGTTTGTGAAAAACTACAGCCTGTGGGAAGCACTCACACTGGAGAAGTTCACGGAGGGCTGTCTCCATGGGAGGGACCCCATGCTGGAGCAGGGGCATAGTGTGTGTGAGTAGTCCTGCCACTGAAGAGAAGGGAGAGGCAGAGACAACATGTGCTGACCTGACCACAGCTGGTGTAGGAGAGGACATAGAGAAAATCAGGGGTGAAGTTGGGCCTGTGATAAAGGGAGGGTTGGAGGGAAGGTGTTTTAAAGGTTTTATTTTCTTGTTACCCTACTCTGATTTGATAAGCAACAAATAAACTAATTTTCCCACGGTGAGTCTTGGGAAAAGTGACTGGAGAGTGATCTCCCCCTGTCCTTATCTTAACCCCTGAGCCTTTCAGTCTATTTTCTCTGCTCTGTCCAGCTGAGGAGGGGAGTGATACAGTGGCTGTGGTGGGCACCTAGTGTCCAGTCTGGGTCAATCCCCAAATATTTTAATCTTTACCTAACAGTGAGCCCATGTCCTTAAACATCGATACTCTATATATGCAGACATATATGTTTTTAGTATTTACCTGTTTACTTTATGCACATAATGACTTATGTTGTGAGTGTTGCAAGTAGCAATTGCAGAACTCAGAGTGAACACAGATGTCTTTTCAACTCTTCAAGAAGTCAACCTGCACTACATTTAATTAATTTCACTTTATTTCTGTCTGAATTGCAAAAGGTAATCTTAGTTTCAGAGAAACTATTTTCAGTGCCAAGAAGGCAAACAAAATTTTTCAAGAATCAGAACAATTTCCTTCACCTGCTACTCAATCAAATAATAATAACAAGCAAAATCAATAAAACAAATGCAGTAGAAGAGAAAACGCTGAGAAATGAAACTGATGCTAGGGAAAAGCACTGAAGTGTTCAATATCCATGCCTCCCTCCTCTCATGTCCTGTGAAAGGTGTGGTGAAGGGGATGGACTGATGAGGAACTATTCACGCCACAGCTGCTGTGGGGCTCCAAGAAAGAAGTGAAAGGCAAATTCCACCTCAAATATGTTACCAGGCAGGCAGTAAATAGAATTTCATAGGAGAGACAGGGCCTCAAGCAAGGTCCAGGGTCAACCCAGTAGGTATTCTGGTAGCCTCCCCTCTCTGTAAGTTGAGAATAGCAAACAAGAAGAGATAGGATAAGGGAGGGAAAGTGGACTTCTTATCTAGGCAGTGCAGGTGAAGCTCAAAGCATAGAAACGTATAGAGAAAAAAAATAGAAAAACAAGACCCATTTACGTCTTCAGGGGAGGGGTAGGGTAGACTGCACAACAGCAGATAACACACCCAATCATTGCAACATCCCTGTGATCTACCACCACCACCACCCAGTTTTTCAGGAAAAGTGCATCCATCCAGAAAAGATGGAACAAGAGGGCCAGGAAGGAAAGGTAAGACTTGCACAAACAGTTTTCCAAAGTCTACGTAATAATATACACAAAGTATATTTTTATACACATTACTACATGCAAATATACAGCTGTCTCCCTTTACTGTCACAGCATTTCATTTCTTTGTGTACAGACAATATAAGATATTCTATGTGATTTATCACAGTTGAGCCTACAATTTACAAATACACTTTTATTTCTACTTGCATGACTTGTGAGACCGTCTGAACACTGGAGCAGCATTCGCATGACTAAAGATGCAAAACAGAGCCAAGTCTTTAAGCCTGCTGATGAGCCCATCTTGGGACATCAAAGACTGACAAGATGAAGGAAACCACTGAACAACTAAAATCCAAAAGCGTCTCCTCTTAGGTGCATAGTCATACATTTAAATAACCCCGTCAAGTAACTAGAATTTCCCACCGTGCAGTTGAAGCAGAGCACGGCTGGATTCAGAAAAGCACTGCTGGTACATTAGTTCCGATCAGTGCAGCTGTCAGCCACGTACTCCATCTGTGCACGCAACTGCTCAGCTGAAGGAGCGAACGAAATCCCAAGCGGGAGCGCCGCAGACCCGACCCGGGGCCAAGCCCGGCTCGGCTCTGCAGGCGATGCCGCACGCACGGACACCTCTCAGCCGCCTGCCTTGCAGAATGCCGAGGCAAAAATCGGCTCGCTGTCACGCTGCAAAGCATTTCAGCTCGTCCAGCTCTCCCGAGGGCGCGGAGCTGCCGAGCCCAGCGGCGGGGAGCGCTGCCCCCGGGACCCTGCTGGCCGCCCCGACGGCCCCGGCCGCTGTTCCTACCGTTGTGCTCGTCGTATCCCCAGTGCAGCATGGCTCTGCTCCCCTGCCGCCACGGGACGGGACGGGACAGGACGGGATGGGACGGGACGGGCTGGGGCGGGAGAGGCGGCTGCGCCCGATTTGAAGGCGACGGGCGGCGACGCCCCGATCCTCGGGCGCTGATAAGGAGACTGCAGCGCTCCGGCCCCCTGGCCCGTCCTTGCCTGTTGTCGCCCCGTGCCCGTCGTCGCCCAGGCTCTCCCCAGCCTTCCCCCAGCACCGTCGGGGTGGCCCGGGGGAGGCAGTGCCATCTCTCAAGAGCCCGCTCCAACAGAGGGAAGGCGGCTCCACCAGCCCCCGTCCCGCCAGGGCACGAGGTGTGCGGCCGGGAAAGACGGCAGTGCTCATTCCTGGGGTCCAGGGAAAGACGGCAGTGCCCGTTCCTGGGGTCCAGGGAAAGACGGCAGTGCCCGTTCCTGGGGTCCAGGGAAAGACGGCAGTGCCCGTTCCTGGGGTCCAGGGAAAGACGGCAGTGCCCGTTCCTGGGGTCACCCCCGCCGCTCCCGAAAGTAAAGCCAAGTCCGCACCGCTGCGTCCCCTCCCATTTTTCTCCCAGGGTTGTAAACCCAATTCCCTTTGGAACGGGCCACAGGAAGATTTCACGTTTTCCCAAGCGCGACCGTGAGGCAGGAGGGTGTCCCACAGACTCGCTGGGAATTTATCCAAGCTCCGCGTGTGCCGGGGGCTGCCCGTGGGCAGGTGCTTGTGGCGACGCGGAGCTTGGGACTCTGCTTGGGCTGCGGGCGCGCGCCAAGAAGCTCCCAGCCTTCCCGTGCCCCAAACGCTGGCTGCGAAGGCGCGGGAGGGACAAGCAGGGCTGGGGCCAAGGCTGACGCCGGGGCCGGACAGGGAAGGGGCAGGTACCGGGACAGGTACCGGGACAGGTACCGGGACAGGTACCGGCACAGGGAGCGGACAGCAGCGCTCCGCCAGCCCCGCTCCCCGGCGCCTCCACAGCGCCCACCCGAGGCGGCGCACGCCCCCTGGCGGCCCCGCGCGGCGCTGTGGGCCACGGGCGGCTCCCCGCGTCGCAGCCCCGTGTGACGTCACCCGCCCGCGCGCCGTCGCCGCCGCCATGGGCAAGAGGCGCGGCGGGGCCGCCAAGGCCGGCAGCGGCAATGGCAGCGGCAGCGTGTTCCGCATCGCCCGCAGCGGCGTCCTCAGGGCCAGGGCCAAGGGAAAGGCGCGGCCCGTCACCTCCGGGCTGAAGCAGGTGAGTGCCGCGGCGGGAGCAGGCGCTGGCCGGGCTGCAGCAGCGCCCCAGCAGCGGAGGCCTCGGCCCGGCGGGGATTCCTCCCCTTGGACCACGCTGCAAGCGCTCGGCACTGGTTACAGCGAGCTGTCTTAGGGGCATTGCGCGTCCGGGCACGAAACGGCAAAATGCACCATTTTCACCCGAAAATTAGGTTTGTAGGTGGAAAACTGTATGCAGCATCTGCAAAAGGAGAAGCACAAGAGGTTCATTTGGCTAATTTGCAGGCATATGCAAAGCATCCGGCTGTGCTTGAGGGGTGTCGTTCGGGAAGTATCTGACAGTATCTCTGCTTGTCCTCGGGAATGCGAGGCCAAAGGGAGCGTCAGCAGTTCAGCGAGTTCGAGTTCGCGTTCGCTGGACTGCATTCGCAGCATCCCTGAGGGTGTAATTCACGGTAGAGTTTAACAAAATGCCTTGATCCAAACCACCGGGCATCTAACAAGGGTGAGTCCTGCTCCTTTCCATCACTTTCCTGGTCCCAGGGAGGGATCCATTTCCCAGGCTCTGGGCTACATTCCCACAGCTCTCCTTGATGCTGGCTCAGGAACTCTGCGCCAGCTAGGTGACTCAACTTTCTAAGTCGGCAGCAAAAGCCATTAAAACTATATTTTGCATTTTTATGTGCTGGGTTTGTGAGTTGAACAAACTTAATTACAAATGAATGAATGCAGAGAGAATTTTGGTGGGGAAGAACCAGAAAGGATGGAGCTTTTTCTGATCCAGTAGCTGCCTCAGCTATCAAGTAAAACTGTCAGTAAGATGCAGTGAACAGAGCCAAGAGTGTGCACTGCTGGATGTTTTGTACTTAATTCCTTTCTGCCCCTTACGTGGGCTGTGATGCTCTGTAGATGCTTCTGTGAACCAGTTTAACATACTAAAGCAATAGAAAAACAAAGAAGCAAAAATATTACTGTTATTTTTGTGTCTGTAGAGGAGCACAGCCCAGAGGAGGGAGAGAGTGGGTTATGGAGCAGGGAGCAGTGCAGGGGAAGAGGGATGGGAGTGATCTTAGCAAGAGTTTTCCTGTTGTGAGCATTATACGGTATCTTCTCAAACCCTGCCTCCAGCCTGAGAGGTGTGTGTTCTGCAAGAGTTCAGCTGTCCCTCTATAAAAGCATCTGGTACTAAAAATAATAAAAGCAGAGGGTGGCTTATTTTCTCCATTTGAGGCAGTTGCAGTATGTTGGACAAACACAAGTAAATGGCTCTTAAAACAAAAGGCTGTTTCAGATTTTCTCCTGCAAGCTCCACTTGACAAATTAATCTGGTGGACAGACAGGAATGTAACAAACTTTAGAAAAAACAATTTCATGTTGCTGGCGTCGCATCTCCTCTTAGTCTAGACTGTTCTGTATAATAAAGGGAGAAACAGGTTTGAAAACATATTCATGAAATGTCTGAGTTTCATAGTCTTGAAAAGCTTATTGGGAGTAAAATTTTATTCTGTGTGTTTGAAGCTGTGTTCTTTAATGCATTAAGCCTTTGGGCTTAATGCAATTTACTTATCATTAAGCAGTATAAGAAGATGTTCATAAAAAAAAATCACAACAATACATTTATTCATTAATAGCTAAAAGCCAATTGTAACTGTTCAGACAACTTTTCATGTAGGTACCCGTGCTAGCTGTAGAGCCTCTTTCTGTGGATGAGTCCTGCCTGAGTACTTGAGGATATCACTATTAAAACTGACTGGAACCTTCTAAAACCCCTGTGAAGCTGGAAGATGGTGACAAGCCCCAGTTGAACACATGGTCTTTGTACATCATGTTACCAACAGTCCAGCGACTCTGATCAGAGCTGGGAACCGGGGCTCTATTTCTCCAGTCACTGTCCCAGTTCAAACGTTCCTGTTTGAGGAACAACGAGGCCTGTTCCATCAGCCTCATTGCCACTGCTTTCTTAATACTGGTTTTCCTGGTCAGAATGGAATTGTTGTTACTGTATACGTGCTCTGAAATTACGGAGGCTTTGAAAGTAAAATGAATACGTGTAACCATTCACAGCGTGCTTCTGCCTGTTTAAATTGCTCAGAGATGAACTATGGGGGTAGTCTTTGAAACAGCCGTAGGTATGCTGAAATTTGGGGTTGCCTGAAGACCTATGAGCATGCTTCTAGAATGTTTGCAATGTAATAGGTCATTATCTGGCTATGATCCTGTTCTAGACCTTGGAAGCAGCAGGTGCTAGGGCTCAGATCATCTGAATCTTACAGTGGTGAGAGTTGATGCCCTCTTGCATCCACCCTGCTCCTCTACCACAGACAGCTGTCCACAGAATGCAACACATGTCCATATTCTAGTGCCTCCTCTTTGAAAGTAAAATCTTTGATGAAACAACTTACAAAGGCAGACTTGAACTAAAAGAGACAGAGATACACATTCCACTCTGCTTCAGCTGCAGAGTTTCTTTAAATACTGTGGCAAAACCTGGTAGATGTTGTTGGCCAGACCTATAGTACAAACAATTAGGATGCAAGGTGTGATGATGAAAGGTAAGCTACTGGAAGAAATTCAGCATAGTAAAATAATTTACAAATTGTGTTTGGTTTGAGGGACTGCAGGCATGGCTTCTCTAAAAAGGTGCTAGAAGCTTCCCTTATGGGGAATGCCAGGGCCAATGCCAGCTGGCTTCAGGATGGATATACTGCTGGCCAAGGCAGAGCCCATCAAGTACTGGCAGTGCCTCTGGATTGATGTAGTTAAGAAGCATACCACCAGCAGCAGTCAGAACAGAGGAGTGAGAATTTTTAAAAGAATCGGCCCTGCAGACACCAAGGTCAGTAAAGAAGGAGGGGGAAGAGGTGCTCTATGTGCCTGAGCTGAGATTCCTCTGCAGCATTTGTTTGACAACAAATGAAATTCATTTCCCCAAGTTGAGTTGAGTCTGTTCTGCCTGTGATGGCAACTGGTGAGTGATCTCTCTCTGCCCTTATCTCTACCCATGAGCCTTTCATTATATTTCCCCTGCCCAGCTGAAGAAGGCAACAACGGAGCAGCTTTGGGGGGCACCTGGCATCCAGCCAGAGTCAGTCCACCATAGATGAAGGAAGGAACCTTTCCTGGGACTTCATTCCAGCTAAGAGGAGCTGAGGGAGGAGCCGAGAGTGGTGTAGCAGGGTCTGTGAAGCTTGACTTTTGTTTTCTGTGTTCTCTTCCTGGATCACTGTAGGCTTCCATTCCAGTAGAGCAAGTTTAACTCTTAATTTTGAATTTATTAGTACACAGCTAGATGACCTAATGAAGTAACAGGTAAAACATACTGGAAAGCATGTAACACTGTCTGCATAGTAATTGCACAAAAATGGGGTAGTTTCACATCAGTGGAATTTTTTTTAAAAATACCAATGTGTATATTTTTTTCTCTCCCAGATAAACATTAAAAATGCCGAAAAAGTTAGCGCGATAAATAAAGCATTTGCTGAAGTTCAGAAAGAAATCCAGCAGCTATCAAAAGGTACCACAGCAGAACCGCAGAACACTCAGCAGGTAATTTTCCTTTGTAAAAATCTGAGGAAAATGAAAAGAATGTGTGTGTTTAAAGCATTATAATGTGTCTCTTAGACTGCAGCTAGCTCAGTTGGTCAGATGGTGCTAGTTAATACCACGGTGCTGAGTTCAACCCTTTTAAGGGCCATTTACTTACGAGTTGGACTTGATCCTTGTGGGTCCCTTCCACCTCAGAATATTCTGTGAATTCATGCAATTGCTTTAAAGCTAGAATCCCAGTTCTATGAATTGCAGTGTGTGGCAATGCTGAAACCTAGTTAGCATGTTCAAATTCTATATACTAGAGAGAGAGGGAGGTGGCAGCCATGCTGAAGCACACTTCAAAAGCGTATTTTTAGCTGATTTGTAATTGTCTAATTAAGCATATAGCTGATTTCTAATTTTTTTTAAGTTAGTCCCAGCTCCATCCCCTTGATTTGAAACTTGTATCTCTACATGAATAGACACAGAGAGAATGAACCTGGTTGTTCCCTACCTGAAGTTCCTGACAGTGCTTTGAAACAAACAGTTCTGCCTCTGTTTGTTCCTGATTCCTAAGCCTTTGTACTACCTCATCAGAAGGACCAGCACCTGAAGCAGCAATTTCTGTAGTAGAGGTGTTGCCTGCAGCACTTGGAGTTCAAGACAGTATTTCTCTTGTCTTTGTCTAGTTTGTTTTTTATACAGGCCTACTTGCAGTCTTGCACAACAATTCATAAAAGTTTAATTCCTGACAAGTTCCTCCATGTAAACTCTTTCTGCTGACTGATGCTCTAGGCACAGTTTCAGGGAGAGAAAGCAGTGCTTCAGGATGAGATGCAGATTAATCCATCCTGCTGTTGGGGGAAGGTGGAGTTTGAAGAAGTGGACATGAGTTGTCAGTGTGCCTAAAGTGATTAAGTTTCTGTACAGCTGGGAGCAACTAAACAAGTGTCAAATACCTTAAAGAGAGGCTGAGGGAAAAATGAAACATAAGTGACAGTGCTGCCAGCACAGGATGAAGCCAGGATTTCAAGGCAGTTGGAGCCAGTGGTCCTGTCCCTGCTGACTTGTTACTTACTCCTCCAAGAATTCAGACTGTACTACTGCTCCTCTGCTAGTAGGGCTCTGCATCACTCAGGCTGTAATAGTATTTTCTCCAAAGTCGCAAAAATGTTGTTGAGGGCAGTTGTGAACTTAAAGCTGAGCCTATCTCAGTTGTTAGGTTACAGCCATGTGTGTTATGTTACTGGTATGATGCTCCCAAAGCACAAAGCATTTTCTGCTTATGTCTCAACTTCAGTGTATCCTGCAATCCCCTCAAATTATTGAAGTATAAGTGCAAAATTAGCTGAAATTAAATATATAAAAGTCAAATTAATCTTCTGGCCAATGGATATTTATTAGTCCGTTTTTTTTTTCCAAGCAGAATAAAATGAAATTATTTTCTGCTTTAAACTGAAACTTTTTTTTCTCCAGGTTTCCACAAATCTGGAAGAGGAACCAGCAAACGTGGATGCTGCCACAAGCCTGTTATCTCAGTTGTAATGCAAAATGGACAATGATGGGGTTACAAGAAATGAAAGACCACAAATACTGATGGCTTTGTTTGCACAATTTTATTAAAAAAATCTTGTTAATATACAAGTATTGGCACGCTTCAATACAAACTACAAACAGACCTTTCCTATCATCTAGGAAAGTGGAATGTCAGAAGTCAGTGTGAGAAACTTAAAGTGCTAAAACAGAAGGCACTTCACAAAATTGGTTCACTGAAACAGTTTAGTGGAACTCAAGTTGATACCCTTCACCTTTCAACTTGGCAGTGAAAGCTTCAAAATTGTTTGAAAAGTTAAAGAATAGAAAGCTTCTTGGCAGTGAAGCTTCAAAGAAAATGCTGTTAACTGTGAGCAAGAAGACTAATCATTTTTTTTTAAATTATCAGAAGGCTATACAGTATTTTCACTTTACTAAAAAACGTTCCAAACAATTGGCTTAGACAGAAAAACACTCAGGTGAAAAAGTGCCAGAATTTTAGATAAGAGCCCTTTTTTCTTGTTCTTGAATTTGTTTTGTGAAGTAGTTAAAGGAAGCAAAAGGAAATATACTCCCAGAGTCAGTGAACTAAGAAGTTATACATTCATTATTCAAATACTTAGGTTATGAAGAAGTCTAGATTGTTACAGTTAGAGGTAGATAAGTAGTCTGGTTGACATAGTATCTAATAATTTAATATCTGCACATCAAAGAGATCACAGACTCCTTCATTATCATCCAGGTTAAAGTTGTAGTCATCTCCGGGAGTAGGAGAGAGTCGTAAGAGAGGAAAAACTGTAAAGCAGGAATAGTTTAGTTTAAATTAAAACACTTGGAAAATCAGCCCTATCATATTTCAGTATGTTTGTCACAAGGGTTAGTCTTAATAATTAAAATAGTCTTGATAATCTGACAAGCTCACTGAGATTCATACCGTGGAAACCTGTACTGCATTCAAACTAAGGCAGTAAGAGATGTATCTGCCATTTTTGCTTGGTATTTTAAGTCAGTTTGCTGAAGTGGAGTGATAGGTGTGGAATATGGGTTTGATTTCTTCTCAGCAACAGAGTTCCTGAGCAGCTTTTGAAAACTTTAATCAGAAAGCCATAATTTATATTCCTGTGTCTATATCTGTGCTCTAGAAGGAGAGGGTATTTCCATGTTAACCACATAGTGGCACATTGACAGAATCCCATCTTGCCCCTTGGATCTTACAACCACATCTCTTGCTGGATGAGCCCTGAAGGTCTGCTTGAGGGGCAGATATTATTACAGGCCTTACAGAATACAGGGCCAAAGGAACAAAGCAGGTCAAGTTCACCTCCCTGTCTGGCACCTCAGTGAGAGTGGCAGAGAGGTGGGCAGCACATGAATTCTGCAGTAGCTGTGGTTCAGTGCTACACTCATATGGCCAAAGCCATGCAAGAACAGAAATGGGTGACACTTGTTACATTAGTGTACCACAGATGGACATGTATCAGTCTGCATCCAGAACTATATTCTGAAATACTTATTCAAAGCCTCTGCACAAAACTTTAGGCAGAATAGAATTAAACCAGATTTCTATTTTAGGGCAGCACACTAGTCATCAGCTTGTTCTTTCTTTTTCCCCTAAATTAGGTACTGGTGGGTTATTCATGCAGGTGAGTGCTTTTTGGATTAAAGTTTTCCTATTTTGACTGTTAAATAAAACTGTTGCAGGGTATAGAAAGGGGAGCAAAGACAAAAGTGACAGAGGAGGCAACACTGGAAAGTAGTAGTTTCATACTGACTCTCAGCATCAGATTTACGAGATGCCTTCTGAGTGCTGTTCACACAAATACCATGCTGCTACTTGTGATTATTAGAAAAGATGCTATATACTTACCATCAGAAGACATGAGTTCATCAATAATATCTCCACTGATATTTCCTGTGAAAGACAGGAGCACATGTTTTACATATGTGGGGTTTTTTAATGTGTTTATAGCAGTCAACACATTCTTTGCATTAAAAGTACACTATGGCTTGCGCAGTGTAGGAGCTGCAGAGATAGTATGCCATGTACATGTAAAATATACTTACCTTTGTATCCCTCAGTTTTTCCCCCAATACATTTTTCCCACTTGTCTTTAAATCCCAAGAGCCATATACACCATGAGGCTTATTTGGTGGCAAAGAAACTAATTTGCTCAAAATTAGTATGCTCCTCAGAGCTGCCTCAGCGGCTTCATCAGAAGATAAACAGAGACTTGTGTCTTTCTCTGTGTAACTCATTGGTAATTTGGTCACAGTGGCTCAGGGAACCACTGAAATATTTGAACAGGAACTACTGCTTCCTACCTGCAGGCTCCTCCATCTTTGCAATGTCAAATGAGTTTGGCTTGAGAATGCAGTTGACATCCAGAGGCAGCAAGCTCTGGTAGTCACTGGAGCTGGCTGAGGCTTGGGCACTGTCTCCAGACAGGCTGGGATAGAGCTCTGGCTCCGGAAGGCTGGAGTAAGGGGCTGCAGGGGCTGCTGTGCTGTCCTGCTGGGTGCTGCCATCTACACGGACAGGAAGGCATGTTACAAGTCTGTTATGGTGAAACAGCACACAGCACCTGCCCCCAGCTTTGTCTTTTGAGGTGAACATAGCCAGTGTCTGGGATCAGGTGAAAGAAGTCTTCCCCTTCCACAGTCACAGACACAACTTAATTGTCAATTAATTAAAGGTCAATAAATGAAGGTAATCAGGACCCCTCAAGAATGCAGTTGTAATACAGCATTTCCTTAAATCTTTTCCTATTACCTATTAATTCAGTATTACTATGAAAAAAGTACCTGACATTCAGGCAGCCTCTTACTGTGGCTATGTGGAAGAAGGTAAGTGACCTTCTGGTACAATAGCTGGAACTGGTGTCTGTATTATCAATCTCATTAAAAGGTACGCGTTCAAATTACATTCTCTGTCAAGAGGTTTGCAATTTTGCTCCATAATGCATTCTGGAGAAGTACCTCAGAATAATTAACAGTTTTACATCCAAAACCTGTTCAGTGTAAGATGGTAAGATGTGAGGGAAGCATCTATTTCACCAGACAGAAGAGGAAGAGGTGTCTGTAACCTCCTCAGAGCTGTTACTAAGGCCCTAGAGTAGTTTTTTAATTGACAGCTGCTAAGCTATGCAAATTCTTGATCTTTCCTTTGTCTACCACCTTTCTTAACAGTTTATTCTTTCCCTCCAGCTGCTTCCTCCCCCACCCATCAGAGGTAGGAAAACCCTGGGATGCACCTGATGGTGTGTCCGCAGCTGCTGTTTGCGGTAACTCCTGTCCTTGGTTTGGGTCACGTTGTTCTGGAGGATTTGGGGGAGCTGCAGCTGGTTTAAGTGGAGTTGCTGGAGCTGCAGGCTGAGATTGGGGCTGTGCAAGGTCATCAGGTGGAGGAACTGGAAACACCGTGGGCTTGGAGGAGCTCGATTCTTTGTTTATGAGCAGCACATGGATCGGTCCTGAACTACTTTTAAGATTGATCTGGTATTTCTTCTGTCCATTCTGTCCCTGCAAAGGTGATGTATTATGAAAGTTACTGTTCCTTGAGAACTTGGAACTCTACAAAGTGAACAAAAAGAAGAAAACCCAAAATCCAACATCACAGCTGCTAACTTGGGTCTTTGAAGAGAACCTTACCATTGAACTGATTTCAGCACAGATGGACAAAGACAGGACCATGGATTAGCTTCATGGCTCTACCCTAGGAGGGTTTTACCGATGTTAGACTGCTTAGCCTCACTAAAAATAGCTTGTGAAACTTCTCAGGTGAACTTCAGCCTTGTATAAGCACAGTGGCTATCACGCTTCATACCATACTCTCTCCCAACTATGTAAACACTATTTAAAATCAAGTGCTGCAACAACAACAACAAAAAAGTTAAAGATGGACAAAAGTAAGTAATTTGGCTTCCTACTTTAATCTTGCCAATTTAATCATTTTGGCAAAAGTGAGATTGCAGTCTGTTTCTCTATCCAGTCTAGCACCCATGAGACTAAATCTAAATTACATCAAAACTAAATCTAAAAGGTTTTTTCATAAGAGATCTATTTTAACAATATAACAGAGAAACTTGACACATAAAAGTCACAGAGTTCTCAAGATAATTCATGACAACTGCAATATTTTGAAAGCTGCAACATTTAAAAGCAAGAGAGAAGAACTTGCATATTTTGGTTTTAATAGAAGGCAGGGTTACCATTAGTCTAAGTGTACAAACCCCACGTTTTTCTGTCTGGCCTGCCTCTTCTCAATTGAAAAAATCCTAATCCTTTCTCCATTCCTCTTGCACGCGGATAGAGATAAATCCTCTGCTCTAAAACAGCTCTTCTTTGCCACTATTGCTCTAGAACACTTAGGGAAATGAGAAACAAGTACATACCATTTCAGCCCTCGGTACTTCTAATTCTGTACCACAAGGTGCTTGAATTGCTAGAAGTGTATCTCCTGGTTAAACAGGAATTTTTAAGAAAGTGTTAAGTGTATTTTTCTTAAGTCTTGTATAGTATCCACTCAAATGAGATCTGGAAATTCTCTAAGGCCACTTAAAAGTACTGTGTAATTTAGCATATATAAACTTGTGGCAGGACATGTGCAGTCTCTCTAAGATTCAAGTATATTGCACAGTATAAATCACCAAATTCCAATACTAAAATCATAGTTGCAAAAATCTTTTCTCACAACAGTACAAGATTTACCATATTCTTTACCCATTTGTCATCTAGTTGTATATATAACGTAAGGTGAAAATATTTAACTAGTTCCTTTTTTCACAGAATCAAAGAATCATTGAGGTTGGAAAAGACCTCCAAGATCATCAAGTCCAACCTTTGATTGATCACGACCATGTCAACTAGACCACAGCACTGTCATGTCCAGTTGTTCCTTGAACACCGCCATGGATAATGACTCCACCACCTTTCTGGGTAGCCTGATCCAATGTTCAATCAGCCTTTCTTGAAGAAATTTTTCCTGATATCCAGCCTGAACTTCCCTGGTGCAGCTTGAGGCCATGTCCTCTTGTCCTGTCACTGGTTGGTTCAGGCACTTCTAGACAGTGATAAGGTCTCCCCTGAACCTCCTTTTTTCCAGGCTAAACAACAGCAGCTCCCTCAGCTGCTCCTCAACTTCAGCTAAACCAGCTCTCTGGTCTAGCTCACTTTATGACTTTGATGACTGGTGGTACTACAGAGATTTAACAGAAGGAAGAAGAGGTATTAATGTTCATCTTCAGTGCCAGCACTTCCAAGTGTCTAAGCTCATGGCTTCCACAGCACATACAACTAGGATGTAACAGTTGTCTGTCACACTCACCTGTGGCTTACTATGCACATTAAAATGTGCTGGTGAAAATCAGGGGACCACATTTACATGCACAGCACTGGCACAATACTGCAGATTATCTGCTTACCTGCACATCATTTCCTCTTTGTCCATAACTAATTTGGAGTAACACTTTTCTTTCTTTGCCTCCTAAGAAACACTTAGGTGAAGTACTATGTGAGCACCGTGCCAGCTCCCTCCATGTTTTGTAATGACTAACCTCTTTTCAGTAACAGCCCATTTTTGTTAAAATTCTGTAGTAGTTTTCTAATCTAGTGTTTTTATTTAAAAAGTCTTCCTTGTGGCAAAGAAAATATTGTTTTGAGCCTAGCTGGAGGCTGAACAACAACCTTCCTTGGGTGCCCCAGGATCAGGAGATGATGTCAAGGAAAGTAACCTCTGTCAGCACTTCCCAGCAATTGCTTCAAACCACCTGTACAGCAATCTTTTCAATTTAGTAGCAATGCCCCATCATTGACCTTCCGCTGGCTCCATTTATACAGCATCACAAGCTCTGTCTGGCCACAGTTGCCACCAGAACATGATACAAAATTTGGATCTTCCTGGTTCTTCTGGAGGGTTGGACCAACATGTCCTATTTCTGGTTCCATTAACAGCCCATAGCAAGCTGCTGAAAAGTATGAATACCAAAAGACACCAAAAACCAGGACTCCAGGACTTCCATTCTATACAATCTATGACTACAACTAGAAAATGCCAGAACTTGGTAGCTGTGAACATTATGAGACGTCTACCTAGTAATGATCACTATTGAGTACTTCTCAATTCGTAATACTTGCAGGAAAAAAGCGGATTAGTTAGCAAGTTATTTTTCAACAAGTCACTCACTTAGAAATACAGCCTAGCAGCAACTTACCATTGAAGCAGTTGCAGATATCTTCATGGGTGACATATGAAAATGTAATTTATGTCAAGGAACATTTTTCTTAATACAATATAAAATTAGTCTTTGCTGCCCTTCAGAAGTTTGTCCAAACTGAGCCTCAACTATAATGTTATTATTGTTAGAGGTGTAATCAAGGTATTATTTTTGACTTTCAGAATGGCTTGTTACAAATAACAAGAGTTCTGTGTTTTAAGAAAATACCTGTATCAGCAAAGAAAATACAAAAAGAAAAATAGCTGTGTAGCTTGAACAAGAAGAAATTCTTCTAAAAAAGGAGAACATGTAAAGTCTCGTTTTGAAGAATAACATTTACCTTGCTAAATTGACAATACAGAATTCATGTATGTATCAGCATTTCAAGAATCACACAGAAATACTGCTAGAGGGAACTCCAGAATTCATCTGCCATCCCATTCCTCTGCCTCAAGGTAGGATAAATCCACTGTTCAGACATTCCAGACAGATGTTTGTCTTTCCTCTTCTGCAAAACCTCCAGTGACAGATATTCCACCACCTCCCTGGGGGATCAATTTCAGTGCTAGCTCTACCAAAAGTTTTTCCTAACATATAGCTTCAATCTACTTTGCTACAAAATCCATTTTACAGAAACAGTTTCTGAACAGAAACTCCATTAATTTTTAAGAACTTATCAATAGTATTAGAGATAGGAAGGGCACTTTCCTGCTCCCATTCTCAGGTGTCTGTTTTGCAAGACAGCTAGACACATGCTTACAAGCAATGCAGATGCGACTCTCGGTATTTATAGAAACGAGTTTTTTTTCTAGTTTGAAACCCAACAGGCTTCAGGACATGGTCAACTCCATTTATCTTTGGCTGATAGCCTAATCTTTTCAAAAGAATGAAGCACAAAAAAGATTCATGTAAAGCACTGGTAACAAAATTTAAGTTGTTGAAAGCAGCATCACTAATTTCAAGTAAGACACTAAGATTATACTATTGACTTAATAGTTACTGTTGTGTGTATATATATATATATATATATATATATATGCTAAATTATTTTCAAGTTACCAATCACAGTCATTGAACTTAAAAAGACACGTAAATAAGATTTACATCTTCTTTTGTTGAAGCAAAACCTGAAAAAATACTTGCTGTACCTTGCTAAATGAGTTACATCATGTTTTATCCACTACCTACACTTCCAACTGTTGCTTTAATTCTAGTTCCAAAATGCACACAATTAATTTAAAAGGATATTGGTGGTTTGTAGAATCATCCATGACGTTCTTGATACTTTGCTGAAGCCACAATTTCTGCTGATCCAATTCTTTTTCTTTTAGCTCTAAATCTTCAATTTCAGCTTCCAGATACCTCAGCCTGTCTATGACTTCTTTTGTATTGCAGCCAGCACCTACTCCTCTTAAAAAGGTATAAGGGTTCATGAAGGGTTCACAAGCAAAAATCTAAAGCAAATATCCAATGATAATTTCTTAAGACTATTTTCAACATTTGGAAAATCTACTAAGATTCAATATGAAGGACATGAGCATTTAATGTCCCAGTAGTATTTTCACAGGAAAATGAAAATTCTTTAATTCAGATCAAATTTACAATTTCCCTCTACAAGAATTTATCTTCTCTAGGAACACTTTTTTTTTTTTTCTGTGTTGGAACTGTTTTGCAGGCCCTAGCTCCTTCCCCTACAATTATTATCTTCAGCTTTTTTTACCTTCAGAGACCTAAGAGAAAATAGGCACAGACTGTGGTAGGTCAGATAGGTGGACACAGTGAGTCCTGACAGTCCTCCCTGATTCATTCTGGGTGAATTTTTCAGCAAATGCTAGTTATAAAATAGCACTACACGTTTTCTGAAAGATTCTCTTCCATATGCTTTAAACTTGATTTTATATATCACAGACACAAGTTAAACGGAAAACAAATACAGTTCATTTGCAACTTTTTTGTACTTCTACAACATCACACTGCTCATTGATTAGCACAATGTTAATTTTATGGTGTCATATGTAGTCAGAAGAAGTTGAAAGAGTCAATTTTTGTTGCTCTTAGGCATGTGAAAACTTGCAGAACTGACATAACTTACTTCCACTGAATGCTGTTTTTTGACTTCTTCTCGATGAGATCAATCCCCTCCAGAACGTTGGTGATATCATAGATCCTTCTCTTCTGCCTCACAGCAAGCGTATCAGCAGCCTGTTGAGAGAACAAGTATCAGCAACTTGCATGCTGAGGGAAAGACACTTAAACCAAAAGCCCTTGGAAAAATGCCATCTAATGTAACTTCGAAAGGAGAAGGTTCCACTCTCCAAGAGCCAGACACCACCACGAAGCCCTTCCCTAAACCCCACCCTTCCAAGTTGTCAATCCTCCCTATCCCTACCCCTTTTTTCCAGAGAGTTCTGTGTCTGTCTTGTTGGCCTCGTCACCCCACTTGTTATTGTATTATTCCCCTCCCCTGTTCTCCCTGATAGGTTTACAAAATGTAGATTTACAAAATGTTATTCCCACCTTTGACCCATCCCCAGCCTTTCCCTCCTTGGTTAATGTTCCTACACCCCTCCTCCTGAGCTGCTGTAGAAAAACTTCTGTTCAACCCCCCCCCAGCTTTGTCTGGGAGCCCAGGAATAAATCCACGTTGTTTCCCTCCAAGACCCGTGTCATTGCTGTCTGTCCCTGCGCCGGACCTGCCGATAACTGGGAATTGCAGAGCTCGCAGGGGGACGGTCACGCCCCGCCGCAACCACCATTTATTCCAGCGACACTCGAGCTATTACAGCCTTTGTTTGGGTTCAGTGGTGCCAGGATACCAAACAACAGGGCTGCAATTTCACCAAGTGGCTGCAGGAAAGCTGCAGTACTTCAGGCCAGCATTGTCCTCGCACAAATACCCTCGCAGGGCACAAGAGCTCGCTCCATCTGTCACACTGAGCACCAGCACCCTCGAACAGCTGCCCGGGATGTTGCTGCTGACACACAGCCAGATGTGCAGTGCATCTGAGGGCTGACACACCTCGCCCCTTCCAGCAAAGCAGCATCAGGCAGAGGCAACCACTTTGTGCCTTATTTCTTTCTCTCCATGGTGACTTTTGTGTAACTGATGCAAAGAGTTAAGATAAATAAGCAAATCGCACCTCAAAAGCAGCTCAAGTTCAAAGGATGTTCACTAAAAGAAGGGAAAGCACAGAAGAATCTGACTCTGTAGTTACTCGGGACACCTCAATACAATGATTACATGGGACTGTACATATTAAACAAATACAAGAAAAATAAAGAAGGGTAGGCAAAGACTTCTGAATTTGAACTAATGCATAAAGGCAAATAATTTATACTACAGGAACATCATGATTTATTTCAATTTGTTCCAACAATCTATTAAATGTACGCTTTTTGTGAGCAGCCTGTATGAAAGAAAGGTACAGCCTGAAACAACCATAACCTGGAAGGAAAACAAAATTTCTTTGCTTAATAGCACAATTACGTTTTGCTACTGAAATAAAGTTGAAAGGATAAAAAGAAAGAACAGAGATTATAAAAAATACTCTTTTAGCCATGAAGATAAACACTGCTCTTTATCCCTGACAGTGATATACCCACTAAGCACCGTTTCCACTGACACCATTAGCAGCATTTATCTTTTGTATGGTCTTCTGTATGAGCCTTTTAAAACATTGTCTTAACTAACAAAACCAGATGCATGCAAATACATATAAAGTGCAGTTTAATTGTCTCCAAGGAAACAAGCTCTTCAATCACTTGTTTCAGTAGGTATGCACCTGCTATCTTAATTTGCTATTTCTGCTGCATACATACACACTACTCCCAAGGACTGCAAGAGAACCTTAAACATCTAGAAAGTGACAGAGTTGATGCTGTTTGCACAATGCTGAATCAGCACCCCATGCATCTCACAGTCTTCAGTTATTCTGAAGGCTGTTTACATTATTCAGTGCAAGGAATGGGCAGCACACACTTACATGTTGTTCAACTTTCTGCTTTTTTTTCCCACTGCTCCACATTATTTACCTAGGACTTAGTATACCACTAATGGCTTGAACAATGAAGAAGCTGCTCTGGAGATAGATTTCATTACCTCTTGAAATTTTCCCAAAGGCATGTCTACAAAATAAAAATGTTTTACTAATCTTAATGTATTTTCAGACTGGCAGCAAAAGATACCAACATATAAGATTTTTTTTTTAATAGAAGTCACTTTTTCTGAGTGTCCAACTTCAAATGTTTCAAAGTTGAAGTAATTGTTCCACTGTAAATGCTATTGCATTTTGTATGCCCAAAGCACAGGTCTCATGAACACCATAAGCAGATTCACCACCAGCAGCTCCAGATCCCCAGTACAGGGGCTCATTTCATAGGAAAATGGACAGCACAGTTCCATAGGTATTTGGCTTGACTAGCCCTGTATACAATTCAATCACTGCTATGAAGTTCAACTGCTTACAACAAGAGTTCCAACACAAGCTGGGGCCAGTTCCCAAGCTCAAAAACTTAATCCAGACATTCACTAGCTTTCTGGTACAGACTTTGTAATCTAATTATCTTTTTAAAATTTCAGATATTTTAAAAAGCAATTGAGAAGTTCTTCCCTGACATTCTAGCAGTTATCAGTGTGATAACTTCTGCCAGGTGCATGGATCAGAAATTAAGTTCAGTCCACCACATAAACAATTCACTAACAATTTAAATAATGACAAGGGCTTCCTGACAAATCTGTTGTCAAAAACACAGTTAAAACTCATCTCTTCTTAGACTGTATCAGGAAAGGGAAATCTGCAACAATGGCCCTGCTAACATGGGTGGACATAGCTTCCACATTCAGAGTTCTTTTATAAAATCCTTCTAATGTTAAGCTGCTGAACTCTATCATTATTCCTTCTGATATCTCCTCAGACTTTGAT